ACCTTTTTGGCGGCCCGGGTTCGGTTCCTGAGCATGGACCTACACCACTGGTCTGATGCCATGATGTGATGGCCACCCACATACAAAATAGAGGAAGATTGGCATAGATGTTAGCTCAGGGTGAATCTTCCCCAGCAAAAAAAATACATATTGTTGAAAAAGGGAATGACTCCTCACTATCAGGGAAGGTGACACACATGTGGAAACAGAGATGCTCAAAAGAACTCCGTGGTGTCAGCTGGAACTGGAGGTGTCAGTCTGAACTCAGGTTTTTATTACGCATATAAATAGGTTGAAATATATGTATTAGTTATGAATATTTATACTATTCTCATCCTCTATTCTTTTCATCCTATTCCCAACCCACCTCCTATGAGTAATCATTTCTATTAGTTTATTAGTTTCTTGTTCATACTTTCTGTGTTTCTTTTATATATACTTATTTGTTATATATACATATAAGAAGTCTTGTAAGCAATGAATTTACTAACAAATTTTCCCTCTAAATACCATCATTCTCTAAAAGGAAACCGTTACTTAGAAAGATGACTGATTTCAGTGCTGGGACCAGGAAATACAAAAGTGACCTGGGAAAATTTTGCTACACCTGAAAGTAAGGAAGTGATCAACAAATCATGGAGACAAAGGAGCCAGCTTAAGTGGCTCCCCGTGGTCAAATCTGAAATAATTTGAACTTCAAAAAGAATAACAACCATAATGGATTATGACTCAGAGATTAAAAGAAAATCTATGAATCCATAATGATATAAATAAATTGATAAAAATAAATAGTAGAGAAGGGAAACCTCCATCTTACAGAGACCTAATACATGTAGAATGATTGATGGAATGAGAAAAATCACCATTTGGCCACTACAATTACGATAATTGTTTCCTGAAAGAATCATCTGATTATTTTGAAGTATGATGTTATATATAGTGGTTGAAATTTTAATGAGAAATAACATGTTTATATAACCTTAAAATACCTACCCAAGTTATATTTATTAATTTCAAAGATAAAAATAGTAACTTTATAGTGGAGAAACCTGGCAGATCACCTAAATTAATTGACCAAGGTTAACATCACCAGTAATTGGAAAAATTGATGTCAGCTGCTTTGTGATAACATGCACTGTGGTGTATCTGCCAAAGATCTGTAGCCTGATTCTGAGATATACGCATACCTATATAATAATAAAACAAACATGGTTAATATTAACTTTTGGGGAATCTGAGTGAAAGGTATATGGGAATTGTTTGTATAGTTCTTACTTTTCTACAAGTCTCAAGTGGTTTCAAAATAAAAAGTTAAAAAAATCCTTTGTCCATAATTACTCAATAAGAGAAAAAAGAATATCGTATGGGTATATTTCTCAATTTAAAGTTTAAAGTTGGCATCCAGGCAGACAATTATGTCTTCCAAAATATTCTCCTTGTAGCCCCTGTCAGAGACAGAATATGGACTGCTGAATCACGGGCAGGACACAGGAAAGTAATTCTATAAAATGTCATCCCTGCTCTTTAAGTGTTTACAGTCTCTATAATGAAACTGTAGAAGCAATTTTACACGGAGAGAAGAAGCACTGTGTACAACAAAACGTATTAGCATAATTGCCACCCACAAATTGACACACAAATGTGCAACTAGAAAATGTTCTCTACACCCATGTTTCCTAGATAGTTTCCATTTGCTCCCCCAGGTCCATTCTCCAGCCTTCTCCAGCTTGTTTTCTCTCAGGATTCTGACCTTCATGGACTGCATCAACTGGGCTCCCTGGTCCTTTGGATTTTGCCAATAGAAACACAAGCAAGGGATCAAATGCAGAAGGAGAGAGAGGTTGGGGCATTTATTCTGTTTTCCTTCCTGCTGGATTGTGGGATGGCAGTGGCTGTCCACAGTCCTGGCCAGGGGCACTTTCTTACCCCTACAAGTCCCACCAGGTTCTCATAACCACTCTCTCCCTTTGCTCCTGTTTCCCACTGCTGCTAGCCCTGGGTGCCTCACCATCCCTTAGGAGTTTCCCTTAAACTTGCCAACATCTTTGTAAACAAGCCATTATTACAACCTTTTTAAAAAATCCTTTGATCCAGCTCAAACCATGCCCAAAAAGAAAGGCATTGCTGGGATCAGAGACTCCATCCCCTGGGACTCCAGTCTCCTCTTACTCCCGGACATGCAGCCCCCCAAAGGGCAGTAAGAAATTGGCCTATTAGCATCTGGCAGCTCCTCCCTGACCCAGAAGCCTGGGGACTTTGTTTCTGTCCTCGTGCTGGTACTTAAAACGTTCTCTTTTGCTCATTGCTCCAGAGTTGGTTACAGAACATGAATGGTTGTAGAAGCACTGAGGCCACAGATATTTCTTCTTTTCAGGATATTAAGTCTCCTGAAGAGAAGCTGAGCATTTGTGGAACAGTCTGAAGCAGGTGTCTGAACTCACCAAGGGTGAGCACAGGTCAGAGAGAACTGGAAATCTGTACTTGGTGATGGATCTGCCTGTGTGCTTGTGGGTTTGTGTGCCTTTGTGTTCAACTGTGTGAGTGTGTGTGTGTATGCTTGTGTTAGTGTTGTTTGATAGTTGCATTCCTGTGTGTGTGTGAGTACTATGTACCTGACTCACAGCCTGATTCATTTCCTAAGTTGTACTTAATCTGGCCTCTGTTTTAGCACATGTGGACCAAGTTATCAGCCTCCTGATGTGTGATTAGGGACCCCTGATTCATGTCTACGGTCTTAAATACTTGCATCACAGCTGAGCAGATGAGAGTTCAGCGTTGGGAGTGAGACTGTTGTCTCCCTTGCTGGAGAGAACGCCCGACCTCACGAAGAAACTGAAGTCCAAGAGGGCTCAAACCTCTTCTCAGCAGCATGAGCTAGTGTATGTGGGAGCTGTGTTTGTGGGTGCTTTCACTCCTATGTGAGAGCAGGAAAGCATATTGTTTGCTTTTGTCTGCGTGCATGTTGCCACATGCATGGGTTGTTGGTGTTTTAAGGACTGTGCCTGTGTGAATAGATTTAACTGCCCCACACTGACTGCCTTCTCTGGGGAAGGGTGTGGGACAGAAGGGGCTGAAGCATGCCTCTCAGTAGTGGCAGAGTGTGTGCTGCTTGTTGTAGTGAGTGTGTGGCTAAGTGTGCATATGTGTTGGTGTGTGTTTCTTTGATATTTTTGCATTGTGTGTGGCCTTGTGTGTTTTAGATGTGTGTGTATAGTGATAAGTTATGTATTTGTGATAGTTGAGTGTTTACCAGGTGTGCCATGTGTCAGGTGTCTTGATGTGCGTTGAGAGTGTATTTGTGGTGAATGGTACATCACCGGTTATTCTGTATGTCTCTTTTTGTGTCTTATTTTTGACTTGTATGTATGTATATGAGTGCTTATGAACTGAACCCCATACTGGCTCTCCTTCCTTTAGGATCTGGTCACAGGTGACTGGAATCCTCAAATCAGCATGGTGTGTATGTGTGTGTGTGTGATTTGTATGTGTTTTGGGGGCTTCTGATTTTCCCCCATGACTCAAATATTTCTTTCAGTGCCTTTCCTCTGGAACACCATTGACTGAGATAACCAAATCTCCAAACTCCCTGTTTCTGAAATGGATCTGCTATGATTTTTATATACTTGAATGTGACTGAGTCGCTCAGAGTGTTTTAACCCTTCACTTAATGTCCCAAGCAAAGACAAATTAGCGTCATGCTGTGTGAAGTTAGAGAGCAGAACCCCCACCAAATGGTGATGAGGCCTGGGAAAATCACTTAACTCCTCGGCCTCAGTTTGCAGTCTATAAAGTGGAAGGAATTACACTTGCCTGATGAAACTTACAGGCTGTCAATAAATGTTTATTGTTTGAGTAAATGATAACGAATGTGAGAGTCTTTTGTCAATTGGAAAATAGATCAGTATAAACGAAGAGAACTATGTAAGGAGGGAACTAAGAAAATTTTGAACTACTTTGGCTTCTTTGCAGCCCTAAATGAATGCAAGGTGTCTGGCGCCCCTAACGAATGATGGGGGAATTTTCCATGTGTAGTAACTGAGAGCACGGGCTCTGATCACACAGACGTTATATAGAACCACATAAAGTAGTCAATATTTTATGTTTCAACCTACATAAAATGGCAATATTGTAGTGTATATATATATACATTTATATGGAATTTATATAATTTATGTTTCTCTTTTCCGAGAGCTAAATTAGGTGAAAAAACATTCATTTTTGGTACAGCTGGAAAGATTTTATAAAATATGGGAATGAAAGGCTGATATGTGGATTTAATTAGGACACGTAGGTAAATCCTTAGCCTTGTATCCAAATGTTCACCAAAATGTTCACCAATTTTATGAAAGATAATTTGTAGATTATTCTTGTTTGGGAGCTATTCTGGTATCAAGCAGCTTTAAATGACCACCCACTTCTAGAGTGACCATGAGTTTACAGCTGTAGGTCAATGGGACCTGGTCAGGTTCACAGGAGGAGTGTGTCAATGCTCCAACAATACCACTTTGGTGCTGGAATCTCATGATACTTTAAGGCAGAAACAATTGATACTAGTTTGCTGAGGCTCATCTACTATTTCTGCCACAGGGAATTATTACAATTTGGCTCTGTCTTGGTCTAGTGAATCATCCCTCTATGCTCACCAAGATCTACACTCATAGAGGGCAAGGTCCTTGCTTATCAGTTCACTGCTGCATTCTCAGTCCTTAGTAGAAGTCCCTGTTCAGACTCAATGTTCAATGAATAATGGTTCAATGAAGCAGTGAAAACTTTCTCACTTCTGTGCAACGAGGTCTCGTTGACTGCTTTTGGAGGTGATGTTTTCCTGGAGCCAGACTCAGATAGAGTGAAGATGCATGCATGCACAAGTGTAAGAAATTAATAGGAGTCCATTTAAAAATTCCTTTTTTCCTGGAGAATTCCAGTATGAAATGTAATGGTCTCAATCATCCTTTGTAGGTTCCTGAGATTGCCAAACCTCCTTCATATCCAGCATATAGAAGAGCACTATGAGGCCCGAGAACCAGAGCAACATGCCTGAGTTCCTCCTCCTGGGGATCCCCATCCCACCAGAGCAGCAGGGCTTGTTCTTCAACTTATTCCTAGGGATGTACCTGACCACAATGCTGGGGAACCTGCTCATTATCCTGCTCATCAGGCTGGACTATCGCCTCCACACTCCCATGTACTTCTTCCTCAGCCACTTGGCCTTCTCTGACATTTCTCTTTCATCTGTCATGGTTCCAAAGATGCTCATGAACATGCAGACTCAGCAACAATCCATCCCCTATGTGGGATGCATTTGTCAGTTGTATTTTTTCATAGTTTTTGGTTGTCTTGACAATTTCCTTCTTGCAGTGATGGCATATGACAGGTATGTGGCCATCTGTCAGCCACTCCACTACACAACTGTTATGAGGCAGGATCTGTGTGTCTCATTAGTAGCTGGGTCCTGGTTCTTCAGCTGTGCACATGCACTTTTGCACACCCTCCTCTTGGTCCCAGCATCTTTCTGTGCTGACAATACTATCCCCCACTTCTTCTGTGAACTAACTGTGCTCTTGAAGATGAGCTGCTCAGATATATCCCTCAATGAGCTGCTCATCTTTACTGAGGGAGCAATGGTTGTCGTCTTGCCTTTGATTAGTATCTTGGGCTCATATATCCATATAGGGACCACCATCTTAAGGGTCCCCTCCATGAAGAGACTATTTAAAGCCTTTTCTACCTGTGGCTGCCATCTCTTTGTGGTATCTTTATACTATGGGACACTTGTAGGTGTTTACTTTTTCTCCTCATCATGGGGCTCCAATGGCAAAAACATTATTGCTTCAGTCATGTATACAGTAGTTACCCCTATGCTGAACCCCTTCATCTATAGCTTGAGGAACAGAGATATAAAACAGGCCCTAGAAATATTAGTCAATAGGGCTAACTTCTTTAAGCGACAATTGCTAATTCTTATTATTGCAGCCATGAGCCCAGTAAGATGTATCTGCTAAAATTATTGTATGGTTGGTACTTCATATAAGGTTAAAGCAATATACATTCTGCTGTCATATACAGTATTGTTAATATGTCCACTAGGTCAAGTTTACTATTTGAATTGTTAAATATTCTTCATTCCTAATTAACTTGTGGATTTGTCTTTTTCTCCTTTTAGATATGTCAGTTTTTTCTTATGTAATTTTTATACTATGTTATTGAAGACACACAGATTTAGTATCACAATCTGCTCCGGATGGACTGATTCTTTAGTGTAGAGGTATGCTGAAGCTGGCTGCAGTGACTTCAAGATGGTTGTGCACATTTATTCCCAAGTCCACATTCAATGACTTCATATTTGTGCCATCATGTTTGATGATCACGATTGAAATCAGCCATAATGGGAATAATGACACTATGGAAATCGGCAAATTCTTCAAAGCAAGTCTTTGTGAAAAAAAAGAGAGAGAGAGAGTCGGTTTTTATGCATTTACAACACCCCACTTCATTTACAATTACGAGATACTCCTCTTAATCTACAAAGGTTCCTACCCTAACATCTCATCTACTTCTTCTGATATTAGTATAGATATACCAGATTTCTTTTGATTAGTGTTGCATGGTATTTCTTTTCCATCACTGTACTTTAAATTTTTCTATGTCCTTATATCTGTGAAGTATATGTTGTTAACAGTGTAAAGTTGGGTTTTGCTCTTTTATGCAGATTGACAATCATTATATTTCTGGAGAATTTGATCAATTAACAGCTAATGTAATCATGATATATTTGAATTTATATATTACATATTACTATATGTTTTCTATTTGAGGTGTCTGTTTCATATTTATTCTGTCTTCTCTCTCTCCCTTTTGGTTAATTAAATATATATTTTATTATTCCGTTCCCACTCTATTAACTTATTACTTGTACATTACTTTTATTTTATAATTCTTTTCTGTGTTTTATGTTGAGATTACTTCTTACATTCTCTTTGAAATGTTTTTATTGTAGTAATATACATAACATGAAATTTACCATTTTATCCATTTGTGGTATCAGTTCAGTGGCATTTACTACATTCATCACCACTATCCCATTCAAGGATTCTAAAAGGAAACTCTATGGAACACCAATGCAACTGAGTACTTTGCAGCTGTGAAAAAAATAATGACAAAGTCATCTATGAATCAATATGGAGGGATTTTCAAGGTATATTGTCAAATGGAAAAAAACTAAATGTAAGAAAGCATCTATAGCATGCTACTTTTTGTGCAAAACTGAATGGGAAGTAAAATATACATGTATCTGCCCATTTGAGCAAAAAGAAACACAAACAGAATAAATCAGACACTAATGAGATTGCTATTCTACAAGAGGTGGGTGGGAATGGGGTAAAAATTTGGGGAGATGAATATATTTATTCATACAGTTTTGACTATGTTATCTTTTACCTACTAAAAAATAAATAGAAGAGGGCGAGAAATAAAGCAAAATAGAATAAAAGAAAACAAATAAATGTAAATATATTTCAAATTAATCCCACAATTAGACTAAAGGGGAAAATAAAATAACTAAGCCAAGCAGTTCTCGAACACAGAATTTTGTCTCTATATACTCGGAATAAAGAAAAAAACTGTAAACAAAAATTTTGAGCTGCAGTTTGTCATTAACAGTGATAAGAGTTCAAGATTCTGAAATTACTTAACGTATATTCAAAGATTTTGCAATAAGTAAACGTGGAAAATAATGACTGCTCACTATCAGGCAGTCAATGCAAATAATCAATAATCAATCTATAGTAAAGGAAAGGAGAGTTTTATTTGAGTCAAACTGAGGATTATAGCCTGAGAGTCACAGCCTTCACAAAGGAAAAAAGTGCCATGGAGAAGAGCAGTTTTCAGCCCTGTTATATACCATTTCAAAACAAAGATACATACCCCAAGCATAACAGGGGTACATTCCTTCAAGGGTTCAAGGAGACGTTTGTTTTGGATTAGCGTGTACACAGTGGGTCAACATAACCCTGGCATCATAAAAAGGGAGACTTGAATTCTTATCTTTAAAAAGTACTGAGACCTCTTAGAAGGTAGGCATTAATTCTTATCTTCAAAGGGCACATTCTTTACTTTAGCGCAATGATTAAAGCAGATGTACAATGTACGTTTGATAGGCTGTAAGTCAGGCTTCTTAGGTTCAAATAAAATTCAGGCAAAATCAAGTTCAAACAAGAACGGCTTCCCCATATACTTTAATACGTAAAAAATTTCATATCATTTCCCACTTTTGATTATTAGTCTTTCCATAGAAAGCATGTATGATCAAAATACTACCCCTCGATGCCTTGGCGGTTGCTTCCTGCCTGAGGCCCCTCATGTCTCTTGGAGCTAGGCTTTACTTCAATTGACCTACCCTGTAATCCATGCTGGGGGGTAATAGCTAAATATGACTGACAATCATAAAGGTATACACTAACATGAGAAGTAACTTTATAGATTATATATATTTTAATTAGTTCAAAATGTCATGCAAACATTTTATGTATGCTTTTGTGACCTTTTGTGATTGCATTGTTCATAACATTTATTGAACAGATATAGTAAAATAACAAGAAACCAATCAATAATATTTGAAGAGCCAATGTGATTTAGTGATGGATTTAAAGAGACAAAAGAAGCCAAAACATCCATAACATGAATTTTGGTAATTTTGTACTAATTTAACTATTTATTTGCCTCCTTTATCTACTGTTATGTGTACTTTATAAGTTTGGGCAGACTGGTTTATTATAGTAAGAGGATCTTCGGTTGTCACTTGTAATGATTTTTCTGGCCAGTTAGATTCCATTAAAATTACTTCTTGTGGTGGATGTAGTTCTAATTCCCAAAACATTTGATCATCAATATCAATATTAGTATAAATCTTACTATCTTTAAACAGTTCTATTTGACTAGTCAAGCTGGTATTACACCATATAGCAGTAAAGTTATGATAAAAAGTACTTTGATTATAATACAGGTCAGAATGTATATCAGAAGTATTTTCTAAACCTAAACCTTCCCAACAAAATTTCTCTTTACCCATATACCATATATTGTTTGCATGGGTGTGGTTGTTATGGGCCAATTAGAGGGAAATTTGGGGTTGCACTGCTGTTTGAGGCATAGCCACAATCAAATCAAAATTCACAGATTTGAGCGGATGTAGAGTTCCAGTAAGAGTTATTTGATAATAAGACCCATCTTCCCCCAACAGGGAGAATTCTCATAGAATTTAAATTGGTCCCTATTCCTACTACTTGGGCAAAATCATAGGTGTGGCTTGTTGTAAGTTTAGGTACTAAAGCTGTGATTGAACACTTATGTGAATTACAAGATCCTCTAAATCAGAATCCAGGAAAGCTTCTTTATCCTGTTGATGATAGGCTTGAGTATACGACATAAGAGACTTACAGTAGCTGGTCATACTAGAATAAGACAACACGGGATCAGCAGAAGGTTGTGTACCAACAGACACTGATCTCTGGTGATGATTCCACGTGGGGTCAGTTCATGTTTTCCAAGATGGGTACGTGAGCAGTCAGCAAGAACAAAGGCAATATCTTAGTCAAGGGGGCTCCAGTATAAAAGTATATATCAAAACATCGAAGACAATTAACAGGACTAGAATCCAATATCCACAAAGGTGAAACATAATTTCCTCTCTACAACTACCCTCAATTTTATCAAAGATAATCACAGTAAAATTAATTTGTTTATATTAAAAATTGATTATTTATATGTGAAAATAAGAATACTCACTGAGAATTTCTGAATTCTGGAGAAATCAGATTGAAAGAAAAAGTAAATGTTTCATCTTTGTTCAGAAAGGTACATCTTACCAAATTGTTGACAGCTTAAGAGAAAATATTTCTTTAAATCTGGAAAAACAAAATATTGCAGCACCCTCCTTGGTTTATGTAGTGATATGTAATTAATATTAGATCTTCATATTTTGTTAGCGGTTTTATGAAGCCATCAGTTTCTCCATTAGAGATCTGGAATTTCTTACCTAGTTCAGTTTTATGATCTGAATGTTTATCGGAAACCTGATTTCTAGAATAAGTGTCAGAGGCCTTGCCATGAATCTCTCTGAAGATGAAACATATTTGCAAAAGCATCATAGTAAAACAATTAATATTTATAGATGACAAAAGACTTAACATTATAGTGGAATGGAAGAGGATATTTGGTCAATTCTATGACATAAAATTTTCAGATAATAACTAGAATTATGGCTGTTAACCAGGATAGATAAAAATTTTAGGGATGTTATAAAATTTTTAAACACTTATATTGATAACATTTACCCACGGAATATAACCTCGGAAGGTTTGTCATCATTATTTGACAATGCTTTCAGTGCAATTTAACATGGTAAATAAGGCTAATTAGTTTAATATCTCCCTCTTTATAGGAAGAGAGAGCAAATTCTTTAAGTCCCAGGGGGCCACTGGAAATTCTCAAAGTTACTTTTATGTCAAAAGAAAGACCATTTTGGATTTGAATTTTGAGAAGTTTGTCAAAAATATACAACCGTTTTAGAACACTTGGTCAAATAGGATCATAGGTCACTGTGAAACAGTGTTTAGTTATCCATTTAACCATGTTGACAATCAAAGATTTTCAGGCAAATACAGAAATGCAAATAGTTGTAAGAAAAACCTTAGCTCTTGTGATTAAACTGCTGATAACAACAATACAAATAAATTTTGATAAAAGATAAAAATCCCTGCCTTTTTGGTAGACTGCTCAAAGGTAAAGAAGAAAACTCTTCATAATCTCTTTATCAAGAGCAGACTAAATGTCCAAGAAAATTATCCATTTCAGAGTAAGAAAATCATATTCTAATTTTTGCACCAGCTTACTGTTGATATTGAAACTCATTTACTTACTTAACCTCATTTCAATCTTAGCCAATTTGACCATGCACAAAACTCTTTCCTCAGGGTTTCTCTTCTACAAACCTTCTATAACTTTC